CCAGAAGGTTTCAAACTGACAACTCTGGACTCAGATCATCTGCTGCACACAGTTCTGATCACTTATTATCAATAATAATTTGCTACGATGGACAGACAAAAAAATTGCTACGATAAATTATTATTAATAATTATCATGAGGAGTCCTTAACTTTAGGATGTAGTTAGGCAATTAAATATTCATGTATGTGTAAATTTATTACCATAATTGAAGGTGAGTCACGTAAATTTATGTTTTCATAAAACAAGTAGCCCCCCCAAGACCAATTTCCTAGGGGAAACACTGCAGATCCAATCTGAGCAATTCAAATTCAATTCCTGCTGGCACAAGATGTATCCCATATGACAGCTTCATTATAATCTCCACTTCTTCTTGTATGAAGGTAACATTGTTTTTCATAAAGGTCTCTAATCCAGTCTCTTTGGCTCTTCTTCAGGAGGAATGAACCCATAAACAGGCCTCACTCCTGGCACTCARCCAAGTTCAATGAAAGCCAATCAGAAACTGGCAAAAGACAGTCTCCGCCCACCACCGTCTGGCACAATAAATGTGACACAAGGTAACGCAGAGTTCCTCAAGTTTAGCTCCAACTTTCAGCTTTGAGCATAGAGAGGGTTAGGTTCACAATTTATGATTTTATTCTTAGTTCTGTGTGCAGGAGGCTTTGTTCTCAGTGTTATTTTTTGTGTCTATCAAAGAAATCACAAAATGTTTCAGTGATGTTTCAACGGCAGTATTCTGATGAAARCTGTATTTGTTTTTGTAAACAATAAAAGACAGGAAAAAAAGAGTGTTTATTTTCTCTTTCTTACCTTTGTAATTTCCTTTAACCTCCAGCTCATCTGCTTCTGATCTTTCTGCCGGCTGGGAGCAGACAAACCTGCACAGGGTGTCCGACCACTTAGGCTCTCTTGGCAGCATGGACAGCTTAGAGCACGTCCCCCACTCCTACCCGGCTGGTCACAGACCGTCAAACAACTTTTCGGAGCACCTTGGAGAAGGGAAACGAGACTCGGCGTACAGCTCCTTCTCCACACCGGACCACACGAAAAGCAACACTGCCTCCACGGAAAGTGTACCTTATAAAGTTGGTCAGTGGGATGCAGGAGCAAAGAAAAATAATGTGAGAAACAGCCAGAGCCTGGTTCCTGAGGGGCAGAAACACAATGATAGGTTCACATATTTCCAGATGCCAGGCGTAAACTCAGGCCACAATGATGCTCTCACCGAGGACTCAAGTGGTTCCCACCATTCCATTTCCAGCAGAACCAGCTTTGGACCTGTGTGGAATGTCCCTGAGAGAAAAAAGGCCGCTTCACCCTCTCCTCCCCCTCCACTGCCACCGGCACGCAGCGATAGCTTCGCTGTAACAAAGGCRCACGAAAGAGGGATAGTCCCCTCTCACCCTGAAGGACCAGATCCACACACAGCCTGTAAGGCTCCCAGTGAACACCATCACACTTCCCCTAAAAATGATAGTGAGAACGCTTATACTTCCTCTGATAAATACAGTCACACCCATTCCAGCTCACATAAACATCATCCCCACTCCAGTGATGCTCACCAAGGCCACCACGAGAGACAAAGACACGATAGTGAGAAAAGCACTTTTCATTCTCCACCCTGGGCCTCATCTGTACCAAAGCCACAGAACGTAGGTGGTTCCTATACCAGTCCACAGGAACCGCACACGAACAGTTCTACACATCACAACCAGAACCACAGATGGAACATAARCACAGACCCAAACACAGACAGCTCAGGACCTGGTCGATATTACTGCGTGTCCACAGCCCAGCAGACACAGCCCAACCACCCATCTTTATCCGATGTACCAGAGGACCTGAGGAGTGCAGYGGGTGCAGATCTGCTGCAGAATAAAAATGAACGGGGCGCTTTTAACACACATTCAGGCACCCAAACCAAGTGTCATCTGTCCCAACAGCAGCAACACTCCTCGCACAGTAAAGACAGCAATGCTTACAGCAAGCACCATGTCCCTACTGTCCCAGAAACATCCGTACTTCTCCCCAGTTTTGATAATTGTGTACGTCAGAGAGGACACACCACACAAATGATAGATTTTGTGCACATCRCTAATCCCCTTAAAAGACAGCCTGAACAACGGAGGTCTCTCTCCGCACATATTATAGATTTACCCCAAGACAGCAGAGTTCATAGCCAAGTGAGCAACAAGATCTGCCCTCAGACAACCCCGATGCTTCACTCTCTGTCCATGAATGTCACGRGCCAGGAGGAGAACGCAGGAGACGCAAACGCCAAGGACTCCCTTAGGGAGGTAAACCGCAGCAGCCGCTTTGCCACCACGCTGAGAAGTGAAATCCAGATGAGAAAAGCACAGCTGCTGAAGAGCAGGAGTGCAGCTACCCTCCCCGATACTGAACATGAGGCGGAGGAAAACCAAAATGTCCGTAAGTCCTCTGAAAGTTCCACCTCAACCCCTGCAGATGGGTCTTTCTCTAACTACTACAAAGATCATTTGAAGGAAGCACAAGCGAGAGTGCTCAAGGCCACTTCTTTCAGGAGGAAGGACTTGGAGCCCGTCTTACAGGAGCACTCTGCAGCCGAGGTCCAACCCAGCTACTCATCCTTAGCACACGCTTGGAAAGATGGCAGCCCTCTGCTGACGGCCACAGAGTCAAATAACTCTGCACCTTTTAGTGGTCAGGTGACCCGGATTGGTGGTCGGAAGCGATTTCCCCATGAAAAGAAAATTCGGTCTTACTCCGAACCAGACAAAATCCATGAAGTTGGGGTTGGTGAAAGTCTGACTATCACTGAAAATGCCAGCTCCTCGTTGGATCACCAAAAATTTTTGAAAGAAAGCATGACGCCGGAATTCTCCAATCMGAGTCCCCTTCAAAGCCATTCCAAGAACCAGGACAGACCTCGCGCTTCCCGCAGTTCAACAGAGAACCCAGTGAAAGAWGTCAGGCACACCGAGGAGACCCCGAGAGCTCCTCACTCTGCCCAGTCCCTTCAGGATGTCCAGAGGCTTGGCACATTCGCAGAGTATGAGGCAAGATGGAACGTACAGAGGAAACCTTCAGAGAAAAAAACCTCTGGACGATCTCATTCAGCTGATAATATTCTCGATCCAGGACCCGAGGATATAATGAAGAGCACCTGTTACCACGAGAGATCCAAATCCTCTCCTTCAGCAGACTTCTATGGGCAGGTAAAGCATGAAGCACCACAGCTGGAAGGGCTGTTAGAAACCGTGTTACCTCTTTGTTTTGATCAGTTCCAGATCTAAAGCTCTAACAGTGGCTTTCTATGGGATAAGTCTTGTCCCAGCAGGAATTGAATTTGAATTGCTCCGATTGAATCTGAATGTGCATAATTTCAAATTGAATGCATTGGTTTGAAAATTAATTTCACTAAATTGAAACTGAATTTAATTATTTGAAAAGTTTTGAATTTGAATTAATTTGCTTTGAAACTATTTTGGTTTATTAAAAATTCAGTTTGACTACTTTCACTTTCAGTTCCAAAATTCAGATTTTTGTGTCACATCCTGGTCCTTGAGAAAGCCAGCCAGAGTAATCAAACACAGATCCACAGATTTATGTTTCACTTTGGTGAAGTTTCCCTTCTGTATGTAACAGAGTTGATGCAGTCCACCATAAAAGTAACAAAAACAGACAAATTTATTTTATTGCAGTGATTAATTTTACCTATAGAAAATGTTACATTTACATCCTGCCATGGATCAGTCAGCAGCAGCATCTGATCAATATGTGATCCATGACGTGATGTAAATGTAACATTTTCTATATATAGATAAAATGAATCACTGAAATAAAATAACTGTCTGTTTTTGTCACTTTTATGGTGGATTGCATCAACTCTGTTACATACAGAAGAGAAACTTCACCAAMGTGAAACATAAATCTGTGGATCTGTGTTTGATTACTCTGGCTGGCTTTCTCAAGGACCAGGATGTGACACAAAAAATCGGAATTTTGGAACTGAAAGTGAAAGTAGTCTAAATGAATTTTTAATAAACCAAAAATAGTTTCAAAGCAAATTAATTCAAATTCAAAACTTTAAATTCAGTTTCAATTTAGTAAAATTCATTTTCAAACCAATGCATTCAATTTCAAATTATGCACATTCAGATTTAATATGAGCAATTCAAATTCAATTCCTGCTGGCACAAGATTTATCCCATAATTTTCTTCTTAGTAGTAACTGAAGTGGCAGCGACAAAAGAACAGACCTAGTCAAATATTAATCTATATTTGTTCATAAAGACACACCCTCATCTTAAGAAAGAGGCATTGACTTGTTACGTTTGTTTTCCAGCAGCAGGAAACACGAAGCTGCAGCCTGATGGAAGTCTTCTGTGTTTGAATGTTTTGCATAACTTCACGTGTTTGTTCTTCTTTTACAGAAGATTCCTGGTCTTGCGACAAAGTTTGACACTGAGCGTAAACCTGCTGAACTGCCCAGCTCTGACACAAGGTGAGTCTATCTCGAGGAGGTATGGGCTRTTAGTACTTGTAATTTCTGGGGAAGTTTATTGTTCATTATTGTTAACCATTGTGTTTTAGTACTCGTTTCTTTGCTARTGTAGTGTGACTGATATCTTGTGTTTTTATTATCTTGAGCTCTACCAATGGCTAGTAGTCTTGTAGAGAACTGAAGTCATTATAATGCATGAAGGTGTAATAATGGCAGYGCCTTTGTGCAGCTGGGACAACATAAGCGGTCTCTGTAGCTGCTCTTTGTGTCATTTAGTGAAGGCTTAGTGGTGTGGGCAAGGCATCTGGCCATGTTTGTGAYAGTATGTTCACATTCAGGCAAATGTCACCCAAATCTGAATTTTTGTTGAGTTGGGGGAGGGGGGGCTGCTTTTGAACACAACTGCTTTTTTGAAATAAAAGTTACAGAACATGAAAAAGGAAAAAGTCTGCAATTTAATTTGCACTAGTCAAATTTTATATATGTAACATCTAAAAATACACATAAGATATCTTGAATTGAGCCGCAACTTAATGGTAAATGTAACATAATTTATACTCGTCACAGTGTAGAGATGCCTCAAACAAGTAMTTCACCTTTTCAAAATATAATTAAAGATATCTTAACTGATAAGTCTGGTCATAAACCAGTTTCAGATCTCTGAAATGTTAAGTGTGGTAAAGCTGACTTTATGTTAAAACTGCCTGCCATACAGTAAAAGCTTCCACATAGCAGAAAATGACCTGCTTCTCTCCCACAGCTGGTTGTTGGGTTTTTTTTTTTTTTTTGTCATATTAACAAAATGGACTTAAAAGCATGTGAAAGTGCAACTAACGTCCACATTGTCTTTTCATCTCCAAGCATAACTCCAGCTTTGGTGTCAAAAATACTAAAAATACAGCTAGAGTACCGGTAGTTGTTATAGGCTTCACTGTGCACAACGTACAGCAGGAGGAAAAGAGACATTAAGATGATTTATGTCCTGCGACACAGTATTTCAGTTATGTACCAGAAAACATTGAAGCTTATTGTGGTAGTTTGATGAAAAGAAAYGGTCCTGAATGTGAGCTGACCGGTCAGTGCTTGTGTGCGTATGTGCAGGTGTTCATTAGCAGTGCTACGTGACTCACTGTGAAGGGCGGGATGGGGGTGTTGTTAGGTGCGACAGTTGGTTCTGTTGATGGGGGGCATGGGGGTCTCATCACCAGAGTTCATATGGAGTCTGATTGAGGTCGCTTTTAAAATATAATGTCAATGTAAACACAAAAACTTCTGATTTGAGCATTAAGACCTGCAGTGGGAACATAGCCAGAGAGGACGTGTKTCTTCAGCACTCTGTGGGATTTTATGAGGAGCGATGCTCAAAAAGGTCCAACATTTTCCCCAACAAGGTGTGTTCCTCYGTATAACTGACTTACCTGTATTCGTGAGGTGGTTTGTTTGGTGCAGCACTCTGACAAAACTTAACTACCTTTTATATTTTATAAACCTGATTTGACTTTGCTTGCTGCGTCATGAAGTCAGTTTTTGTGATTACAAATAAAATGTTGTGAGGATTATTTGAGAAATTAGTTTGGTTTAGATAATCAAATTGCTTCAGAATGAATTATAATTATTGTTGTTTCTGGCAAAAACAAACAAATTGATATCCCCACAGGCTTTAGTAGTACTTTGTATTTTGCACTGTTTTGTTCATCATAATAAAATACTAACAGAGCCATCATCAGCCTCACATCGAGGTTTGTTTTCATTATGTCAGTAGGAATAAAGTAGTTGGAGCTTAATCTTCCAGCATAGTTGGTCAGAATTGAACATTTTAGTGACTGGCCTTAAACTCTGTCTGGAATTGTTACTGTAATAATAATTAGGGCTGCAACAACTAATCAATAAAATGAATGAAAATCGATTATTAAAAGTGTTGGCAACAAATTTCATTATGGACTTGTTCTGTCGGGCGATTTTTGATGGTAGTAATTTAATGATTAAACTTTAAGTTTTAATTTGCTGATAATGTCTGAGTGAAGACACTTAACCTAATACTGCAAATAAAACAAGCATTTATTGAATTGTTGTAATAAGCAGCTGTCCTGACTGAAAGTCTTCTTAACATGATGTTTCTGACATGAGACTGTCCATGGTCAAACGTAAACACTTTACTATAATCAGGGTTGCACATAAGCGGTGCGCATGCGTGATAAAAAAAAAAGAAAAAGTGCACCAGATGGAACGTCATAAAGCTCACTTCCGTACCTAAGATTGTACCTGAGATTGTCTGTTAAAACAACAGCTAGCAGGGCTCTAGAAGTGCAACCAGTTTGGTCGCAAATGCAACCTGATTTCTTTAAAAAAATAAAATAAAATCCAGCCACACTGGTATGACTGGATCATTGTTCGGTGCTCACCAAGCCTCGGGACAGCGAGACCCTGATATAAGGATTAAACAGACACTGCCTTCAACAAATCAGACGAAGTCCAGAGCCGTTTTATCCAATCAGAGCAGAGCAGGGCAGGACTTTCAGTCAGAGCAGTTTTCAGCAGAGAGGTTGAAGCAGTGGGTCGYGCAGTGGCTGTAGCGGTCAGTCCTGACATCTCCTGCACTTTGCTCCTGAACTACCAGAGACTTTGGTCTGTAAAACATAACTTTATATTAAATATGTGTTCAGAGCGTCATTATCAAACAGATCTGTCCAACTYTGTGTGAGTGACTAAACTCTCTCCTCCTGAGAGACTGCTGTGACGGGAGTGCGTTGCTGCGCGTGCAGGCTGAGTCTTTCTGTGAGATTCACTGTTTGAGTTCTTCTAATTGAACCACATTAACTAACAGAACATTTGTTTGCCCCATATTAAAGTAAAGTTGATTCTCTGTTTAACACCCCCGTCAAAAAAAATTATATATATTAAAAAATAAAAACAACTTGCCATGTTCTCTAGGTGAAAGAGTTTTAAATGTTATTTTAATTTATCATAAAGATCCACAAATTTCATTCACAATTGTATCAAAAGAAAAAAAACAAGGTTCTTGATTTGCTAAACTTATTTATATTTAGGACCATACTGTGATACAGCTTTTCTGGGATAAATGTAATTTATTAAATGACCAAATATGAAGAATAAATAATTACATGAGCTGAAACCATCTAAATAATATAATATTTTTGAATCAAATAGTCTTTTAAAAAAATCAGTATAACAAATAAAACATTTGTATGTTTTAAGTTATTTTGCTCTGTGCTAAAGACAGATATTTGCTACTTGGACTGGAGAGAGTGGAAAGCTGGTTTAACCAAGGCTGAAGATGCAGAAGACCAAACTACAGGAGCTGTCCATCTGAAGGACATTTAACCATGAAATGTCCAGTTTGTGATGTTTATATGACATACAGCCCCTCAGCCACTTAGGTAGTTTACAAAATTTATGCAGAGTAAAAGAATAAATTAAAAAACTTGTTGGACTGATTTGGCCTGATGTCCTGAGACGTTGCAGCTGATAGGAGTCATAAAACAGAACAGGGGGACGTTAGATGCCCGGACGCCCCTCTAGATAAATGTGTTAAATGAGTGAAGGAAAATATGAGCACCAAGCAACAACCCTAGGTTCTCCCCTGAGAACAAGACCAAAAATTTTATGTGCAACCCTGAATATAATAGTTCGGACATTTRTTTCAGGTTACACTCTTCCCTCAAGGACACATTTCACAAAGCTCAGAGAGAGAAAAGATGAAGAGACTTTCAAGGATAAAGCACACATTTGTGTAGTTTTTTGTGAACATTCATTTGTTTACTGAAGCTATTTGACAAATATTTACTTATTAATGCATTACATTTTAATATTATATATAACTTGTTATTTGTGCAATTTGCTTTATCAGTCCAAATTTTCTATTTTGGAATAAAAAGGTCAAAATTTATACATACATATATATACAGTACCCTAATCATAATAAGTGTATTGTGAAGCTGTTTGTTTGTGGTTACAGATATTAAACATACCCACTAGTTGACTGTGTTTACAGCTAGTAGTTARCACATATATCAATTCCTGAGTAATCTTGTATAATATAAAGTACAAAACTAAAGCCCCCCGTTGTACCCTTAAAATGTCGATCTGTAACAATGTTGTTTTGCCACCGTTCCTTCATTGTTGAAGGTCAGGAARCCTGTTCTAAATGTGTTTTAGTTGTGTGTTAAAGACATCTTACTGAYGTTTGCAACAAGTTTTTCAAGAGTCCTCCTGCATTATTTAAACATCCCAGGTGAAACTCGTAGCAGAGTGCAATGTAACTGATATTGAGTCATTTCATTGTCAGAACCACACCAGACGACACTCGTGTTTGCATTACAACAGGCTGGGGATGGTATTGTCACGGGGAGGTATAGGAGATGAGTTTAGTGTGCTGGGCCCCACCCAGATGGTGATATTGATACAGAAAGAGACACCAACAGGTGGCTTCAGTCACAGAGCGTTGACAAACAGGACAGGACTTTTAGCTCAATGGATGGTAATGATTAAAGCAACACACAAGGTGAGCTGGTTCATATCCTAATACGTGTATAGTTTAGGTATAATCATGCATTTACAGGCAGCTTTACGCTAACTTTGTGTGACAAGCTTGTTTGTGACAACTTTTTCATATTGTGCAGATCTGAAAGTGAGGCACGAAGCAGCCTGTGAGCTCCAGCTGCAGCTCTTTTTTTTTTTGGGTAACTTGTTCCAGCTTGTGAGGACTTCAGTCAGGAGCTTTGGGTTCTGGCGTCTGTCTGCCCACAGTCAGTGGGTTTTATCGTGGGACTGCAGAATCACTTGTGTGGTTTATACTCAAAGTCGAACAGCCGGGTACTTCGTCACGTGACCATGTTGTAGACAGAGGCTGACATATTTGTTTGGGGGAAAATAAGATGAATTCCTCTATGTGGAAAATAGGAAAAATGGTGAAAAGTTGCTGTAGGACTGCACTTCTCATGTAAAAAAAAAACATCCAGAGAAAAAATATAATTTTTTTCTAACTGCAAGTGCGAGGGGAGAGAAATAAGATACATTTCGTTGTTCTGCCTTTGCCGACTTCTGTGCTTCTCCTTGTTTAAAAAGAATTGCCTCATTGTTTTGATTCAAAACACAGTAAAATTGGCTAAAATGAAGATTAAACACTCAAAACTACACACTAACTATAAAATCCAAACATGTTAAATGTCACAGATCTAATTAATAAAGTCCTGCTCTCACCGGCYCTTCATAGCCGCCAATCTCCATTCAAATTTCACCTCTTTTTATTTTCTTCTTCCTGTAGGTTTTTTACTGCTTGTCAAATAACTTTGAGCCTCAGTCAAAAAGGAGGTCTGGGGGGTTATATTTTTTCGGTTTAAGAGAAAGATGMGACTGACGATGGACAGCTGTGTTCCTGCTCCCTTCAGCTGCAACGCACTTSAAAATAGAACGTCCATTTTCAGAAAAAAAAATTAGTAAGATATGCCATTTATCGTAACTCTGGTTTTCTTAACACTTGACCTATCGACACAATTTAAAAACTGCTGTATAGTTTGAAGTCTCTACTTTTGACAYAATTTGTAACAGAGTCTCACGATGAATACAAAAACGGAGGTTTGAAATCACCTGACTGAATGACATCACACAGACTTCGAGAATTTGTAATGTTCAACTGTGCCTAACTGGACATGTAGTCCCTCGCTGTTCTTTATGCACACAGTGGATGGATGGGTTATTGYTTGTCCCTGTGCTGAGGTTAAATTTACACTGGATGATAGAATGCTTTAAAGTTTCACTTTGTTTAGTCTCCACCTTCTTTTCACCATCAGGCTCCAGAGAGTCAGATGCTTTATTTGTCCTCTAAAGGGTTAAAGCGGAGAGTGTGATTCAGGCAGGAAAAAGTGATTGCATCACACRTCTCTGCGCTGGAGGAATATTTATTTCTTCATGCAGGCTGTTAGAGCTGAAGCATTTCTCTTCAGGCTGCCAGCTGGGTAGCTAACACGAAGAAGGCTCGTGGACGTTTGTGCTGTCATGGCAGCATAATCATAGTGGCTGCTGGAGGGATGAATGAGGCCTCTGCCACAGTATTATTAGAACGARACTGAGATGATAGCCTGCGCTGCCTGGCTGTGTAATTAAAAGCTTATTGTTGTATTCCTCAGGTTCTCTGACAGTGGTTCAGGTGACTGCAAAGTGGCAGAAAAGCCAGCAGAGTTTGAAAATTACTCCGCGCCGCCCGCTCCACCCATGACCGGAGCCAATCCTGACTGTAGACAGGGAGCTGCTGCTGCCACGCTGAACCACAAGTCTGGTTCTCACAGTCTGCCCGAGCCTGAAGACCACAGCCACACAGAGTTGTCATCATCCGGACAGAGGAGGAGGGCCTCTGTGCTGGAGAAACCGTCCCCTACCAGAAGCCAAGACGTCAACTCCCACGAGTCCTTCACCGGCYCCCCGAGCGACGCCTTTACCCACCGCTTGGCTAACTTCGAACCAAACTCTGCTTTTTATCCCATCTACTCTGCGAAGGGAGATCCTGAGCAGGGCAAAGGACACGGTGTAGCGCGTCATCGATCAACGTCCAGTCATCAGCCTGCCCTCTCGCCCCCAGCTTCCTCACACAGGCCTTCAGTGCATCACAGCATGGAGGGGCAGCGYACTCCCTCGCCTCAGTTTTCTCCACAGAGACTCAGCGACAAGCCTCCAGTCTCTCTTTACAACGAGGAATCACACAGGTAACATATTCCTTTGATTTCTCTTAAATTACCACAGTGTTGCTCCTGAGTTTTAAAGTGCCTAGTATGACATCATTTTTTTTTTTAATAAACATGAATGCATTTTTGGAAAGGTAACATTAACAACAAATTGTAAAGAAAGATTTCATGCAGCTGAGATGAACAGTTGTTGAGATATTTGCATGTGAAGTCACAGGAAGAGATGTCAAAGGGGAGTGTCTGAATGTGAACAGAGCATGGCTACAAAGGCCAACAACACAAACTGTAGAGAAGAATCTGATGTTTCTTTAGATTATTTTAATTACTAAAATAGAGAGATGAGAGAGTCACAGTTCGAAAAATATTGTTTTATTAAACAAAAACCAGAATTTTATTTCTTGAAGCGTTCCCCTTTGATGTCACTTCCTGTTTCATGTTGTCTGAGCAAAGTTCAAAATAAAATATGTCAATTATGGGACATAAATGGTAAAACTGTGTATTTTACAAAGTTTCTTGAATATAAATATGTTTTCTTTGAGWTTTGGTATTTGAAGGATAGGTGTGTCACAGGTACTTTAAAGTGCCTGTGAAACAGGAAGTAACATCAAAGGGRAACTCATTAATAAAAAACTCGCTGGTCTCACTTTATTAAAACAAAATTATTTAAACTTCAYCTCTCTTTGATAGCGACTAAAAGTAATCTAAAGAAACATCAGATTCTTCTCTACAGTCTGTGTTGTTAACTTTTGTAACAATGCTCTGTTTACATGCAGACATTYCCCTTTGACATCACTTCCTGTTACTTCACATGCAAATATCTCAACAACTGTTCATCTCAGCAACATGAAATTTGTTTTGCAACATGTTTTCAGTGGTATCTTTCCAAAAATACATTCATGTTTGTTACAAAAATTTGATGTCAAAGGCGCTTAATAGCTTCTKCAGAGCTAACTGTCAAGTTATTGTGATTTTATCTCTGCAGTTTAGTTTGGGTATAAATCTCCTAAAGGCAAACGTTAGTTTGTTTTCTTAATTTCAGACAAATCAGTATATTCTGTAGTGTCTTCAGGACTGTGCAGAAAGGATTATTACAGTTAGCTGAAACCAAAGGAGAGGGAGGAGTCTGCTTCTCTTAGATATTCCAGCAGACTGGGCATGGAAAACTTTCCAGCTGCCATCATGCAGTAAAACTTTGAATCAGCAGCAAGAAACACGTCATCTTTGAATGGTTTTTCACCAGATTTTCTTTCTGTTCTTTACGTTTCAGGATGGAGCAAATCATAGACGATCAGAATTCAACAGTGAGGAAAGTGCCCATCAGGATTGTACACTCGGAGGGAAGCGTAGAAAAGGAGATTTCTCCATTTTTGCAGCAAAGTGACCTCCCTATCATTGAATCTGAGAGGCATGATGTGGCCAGGTTCAGCAGTCTGGGAGCTCTGGGACAGGACACGGTCTTCAGTGCCTTTAGCTGTCAGAAGGAGCCCGACAGTCCTGCAGGTTCTCAGATGAAGCAGAGAGACGTGTACATGACCACAGTGAGGGATTACGCCACTTCTAACAGCCAGCTGGCGCTGCAGACCACAGATGATCCCAGCAGGAAGCGAGAAACCACAGGCCTGACTGAGCAGGAGGACCAGAAGAGAGAGGAGCTGGCACGGGACATCATGGGGAAGGATAAATCACTGGTTGATATTCTGGACCAGAGCAAGATGAAGACCACRATGGACTTGATGGAGGGAATCTTTCCTCAGGGGGAGCAGCTGTTAGAAGGAGCTCATCAGAGGAGAAAGTTGCAGCCAAAGCAGACAAACTCCAGACCTGCAGAGGACAGGTGAGCCTCACAGCTTCTACACCACACAGATACACGACGKATCAGTGGTTARCACTGACGCGTCACAGCAAGAAGGTCCCTGGTTCGATCCTCGGTTGGACCTGGGGTCTTTCTGTGTGGAGTTTGTACGTTCTCCTCGTGCTTGCGTGGGTTTTCTCCGGGTACTCTGGTTTCCCCCACCCCAAACTTCAGGCCCAGGCCTCCCTTGAAAAAGAGATCWGAGATCTCAATGGGACTTGCCTGGTTAAATAACAGTAAATAATTTAAAAAATACAATGGTCCAATGACAGCTACTAGGGCTGTGTATTGGCAGGAGTTTGGTGATACGATACAAATCATGACTCAGGGGTCACAATACAATGTATCACAATATATTGCAATACTGTAAGCAAGGCGATATATTGCCATTTTTTGTACAAAAATTCTATTTAAAAACACAGTATGTTTTATATGAATAATTTTTTCATATTTCTTATTTCATGCATACTTTCAATTCTTAGACTAAATATGCCATTAGTTTAATATACTGTATTTATTAATGTATAATACTAGAAATTTAACCCTAAATATCATCCATAAAGTGTGTGTGGTCGGGGGGGTAGTATTATACACAGGTTATTGATAATTAGATTTTTAATACTTTTTAARCTCAAAAATGATGATCGTGTTATACTCGTGATTGTATTATACATGAATAAATACGGTAATTATTGCAGCTTTAAGATTTTAATACAATTTTCTATAAAAATATAGTGACCCAACATACAAACCAGGGGTAGACATAAGGATATTTTTCAGGTTGTCCAGCGGACTACCTGTTGACAAGATCTGGTTGTCCGCAAAACATTTTGGTTGTCCAGAAGAATCTCAAGAAAAATGTAATTTAACAAGTATATTGTTCTGTAGATGAAGTTTATTATATATAATTGTTCTCAGTCAGCCAGGTTGACAGGATCTGCATGAATAAAACTTCCTCATTCTCTTCTTTGAAATAGAGTATTTAAAGCTCAGGGAGTAAAGCAGCAAAAATGTTGCTAATAAAATCTAGAGGTTACCCAACATTCATAAACTTCTTTTTACTCAAAGTCAAACATTTTCACTTAAATAAGAGTATCCTGTGTACATGACCTTATAAAAGTCACAGTTTAGTGTTCTGTTGGCTTTACCRAGTTTTTTCTCCAGTTCATTTTTACAAWTGATGGRCAMCTGCGGCAGAGAACTTTAATCRAGGTCTTTTTTTCTTGGTTGTCCACCGGACAACCAGGAGACAGGATCTGRTTGTCCAAAATGAAAAWAGGTTGTCTCGGACAACCTAACCAATGGTTATGTCTACCCCTGCAAACAATGGCCTATATCTTGTCCTAAAGTTCAGTAAACAGATGACATGAAGCTGCTACAGTCTGTGTTGTCGGTTGTCACAGGGAACCTTAATGGGGGAGCACAAGTGCACCAGTCGTTTCAATGCCCTGTGCTTCATCTGGTCGTTGCATTTGACCAMTTCAGTACCGTCCCTCGGRGACCCCCCTGAGCTTGGGGCACTAGACAAATGCCTGCCTTCTGTAACATGACGGCTGACTGCAGTCAGGAGAGCGTCCTGAACAAGACACTTCAATTTGACTTAAAGTACAGACATTCCAACTAATAATGGACTGTTGGCAACCTTACCTGAGCTTAGGAGGCAGCAGGTGTCGGTCTAATCTGCTCAGATTCAGCCATCAGAACATGATGCTGATGTTTACTCACAATGCTAATGTCTGAGTTACTGTTGTACTCTCTGACTCCTCAGGAGAGAAGGAGCCAAATGTCTGACTGACCACTGCCAACTAGAGATCGGAGGTTGAACTAAAACATAAAAATGAACTGTTGGCAAGAAAGTTTACATTTTAAACCTTCATTAAAAAATCATTACAGAGCTTTAGAGAATCGATACAGTAGCAGGAAATGAAATTTTGCTATATTTCAGTGTATCAGTATTTTCTTACACTCCTAGCTTCCACACTACACAAAACAGTCTGTTCAGTTCAGCTTCTACATTAGACTTGAGCAGTATGAAGGCATTTTGGCGGTATTAAAATATGGTGACGGTTAAAAAATACATATGAAACTCATGCAGTGAAGGCTGTTATAAAAACTTGGATATAAACGTTCAAGGCTCTTTCCTTCTGGATTTAAACTTCGGTTTATTTATTTATTTATTTATTTATTTATTTATTTGAGATGTGTGAGCTCCATCCTTCAGACAAGGCATTCACTTTTACACAAAACCTGGACACACCTACGAAAAAGTGTCCTGATGCATCAGTAATCCAGGTAGACAAATCACAAAGAAAAATAAGTAGGTCCTCTTCGTTAATGAAGCGTTTCGTCTCTCCTCCAAGAGACTTCTTCAGTCTGAGGAGTTTCAGGTGAACTCAGCGTTATAAGCTCCGCCTCCACATGGTGGACAAACAGGTTGGTCACATGCAAAAGATGACCATTAGCCAAACAATAGGTCGTTAGTGGCTTAATTGGCTCTGTTGTTTATTGAGGGTCATGTGCTCCATCACTTGACTATCGTTGGGGCCCTGATTCACACCTTTTGCTCACAGGGGGCTGAGTCATACTTGCAATAACAACATTGTTAGATAGATGGATAGATGGATAGAGACTGACTGACTGACTGACTTGTTTGTTTGTTTGTTTTTTTGTTTGTTTGTTTGTTTGTTTGTTGTCCCCAAGGGGAAATTTGTCTTGGACATTGTATGCCCGACAAGCTGCTTCTACAATTAATACACTACAAACAGCAATAAGAAGTCGTGAGCACCTCAAAACATTAAAACACATGTTGCACAAAAACACATATTTCTCAATAAACACATATCGCGCATTCCCACATACCTTCTAGCATGTACACAAACCTAGTCAAACCAAAGCTTTAGTAGCATGACGAACACTATATGCATACTTTAACAATCTGACAGATGTAGTAACAAATTAATTTTTAAATCTATTGAGTCGACAAGCTGGATTCTAAACCGTTTGCCAGATGGTAAGAGTTCATGATGTGAGCGGGGTCAGACAGCACCATCTGAGCTAGTCTGAGGACAGACTCTTCATAGATGGACTACAAGGAAGAATTGTCGGTCCTTCCTGTCGCCTTCAGTGCCGTTTGTATCATGTGACCAAGCTTAGATTTTAAATGCACAGATACAGTAGCTTGCCATACCACGCTGACATTCAAACCTGATGATGCTTTCAAAACAGCCTGATAGAATAAGTTTCTGGTTCACCCCAAACACTGAGTCTGCGTTAAAAAAAATATATATATATACACTCACCGGCCACTTTATTAGGTACACCTGTCCAACTGCTCGTTAACACTTAATTTCTAATCAGCCAATCACATGGCGGCAACTCAGTGCATTTAGGCATGTAGACATGGTCAAGACAATCTCCTGCAGTTCAAACCGAGCATCAGTATGGGGAAGAAAGGTGATTTGAGTGCCTTTGAACGTGGCATGGTTGTTGGTGCCAGAAGGGCTGGTCTGAGTATTTCAGAAACTGCTGATCTACTGGGATTTTCACGCACAACCATCTCTAGGGTTTACAGAGAATGGTCCGAAAAAGAAAAAACATCCAGTGAGCGGCAGTCCTGTGGGCGGAAATGCCTTGTTGATGCCAGAGGTCAGAGGAGAATGGGCAGACTGGTTTGAGCTGATAGAAAGGCAACAGTGACTCAAATAACCACCCGTTACAACCGAGGTAGGCAGAAGAGCATCTCTGAACGCACAGTACGTCGAACTTTGAGGCAGATGGGCTTCAGCAGCAGAAGACCACACCGGGTGCCACTCCTTTCAGCTAAGAACAGGAAACTGAGGCTACAATTTGCACATCGAAATTGGACAAGAGAAGATTGGAAAAACGTTGCCTGGTCTGATGAGTCTCGATTTCTGCTGCGACATTCGGATGGTAGGGTCAGAATTTGGCGTCAACAACATGAAAGCATGGATCCATCCTGCYTTGTATCAACGGTTCAGGCTGGTGGTGGTGGTGTCATGGTGTGGGGAATCTTTTCTTGGCACTCTTTGGGCCCCTTGGTACCAATTGAGCATCGTTGCAACGCCACAGCCTACCTGAGTCTTGTTGCTGACCATGTCCATCCCTTTATGACCACAATGTACCCAACATCTGATGGCTACTTTCAGCAAGATAATGCGCCATGTCATAAAGCTGGAATCATCTCAGACTGGTTTCTTGAACATGACAATGAGTTCACTGTACTCAAATGGCCTCCACAGTCACCAGATCTCAATCCAATAGAGCATCTTTGGGATGTGGTGGAACGGGAGATTCGCATCATGGATGTGCAGCCGACAAATCTGCGGCAACTGTGTGATGCCATCATGTCAATATGGACCAAAATCTCTGAGGAATGCTTCCAGCACCTTGTTGAATCTATGCCACGAAGAATTGAGGCAGTTCTGAAGGCAAAAGGGGGTCCAACCCGTTACTAGCGTGGTGTACCTAATAAAGTGGCTGGTGAGTGYATAATCTCTGCTGCTGACGAGAACACAACATATTAACATGAATCTCCCACTTAAACAGATTATCTAGGTGAACCCCCAGATATCTGTAGGAACAGACCTGGTTTATTTTCTGCTCGTGAATAAAAAGTGGGAAACTGTCACTTACAGACTTGGGGTCAATCAGCATCTCCTCTGTTTTCCTAGTATTAATGAGGGGGACAACTGGACACGAAGGCCTCCACCTGTGTTTAATGGTCTATAATCTATAATCAGTCTGTTTTATTTTGACAGGTTCTGTTTTAAAAAGTTAACTTCTAAGAAAGAATAAACTCTTTATTGTTTTATAAAGACCCCGAATTGACTTTTTAGGGAAGGTTTTATATTGTCTTGTTTGATGATGTGAGAAACATTTTTTTGTATTTCAGGGAGAAGGAGGACAGCGCATCAGTAGCCGTCACCATGGTGACCAGTTCAACATATTACAGCACATCCGCTCCGAAAGCCGAGCTTCTTATCAAAATGAAAGACATGCAGGATCAGAACAGGGAGGACGACTCTGAAGATGAGCTGGACATTAATCTGGCCAACAAAAAAGTACCAAAAACTTTTTTCTTTATTCCTGTTTGTTACAATATTTTGTTATCAGAGGTTTATAGTAAATACATTTACTTCATTACTGTACTTAAATAGTTGTTTTTTTTTTTTGAGGATTTGTAATTTTACCAATTATTTTTAAAATGGCTACTTTTACTTTTTTGTTACATTTTAAAGCTAACAATACTTTAACTTCTTTACTTTAAAATGTAACACCTAGTTACTTGTTACAAAATTAAATCAGTTTGAACATATTGAAAAACCTGTTTCTGCACTCTAAAAATGAATGAAGTGTTGAATTTACTCAACAAAGTCAACTGGCTCCACTAAGCCTAAATTGAGTAAAGAATACACATACATTGCTCAGTTTACTCAACCTGTCTTAGTGGAACCAGTTTGGTTCAGTAAATTCAACAGTTTATTTCTTAGAGTGTGTAAAAGTACTTTTACTTTCCCAATTTTTGTGAAGTTGTATAACTTTTACTTGAGTAGTTTTCTCATCAATGAAATTTATTTTTACCAAAGTCATTTTCTGTTCGTGTAATTTTACTTTTACTTGGTTATTTTTTTTCAAGTACTTTAAAAACCTCTGTTTGTAATAAACGTCTTCATGTCAGTTTGATTTTGTGTGTTTTTGTTTCGTGCAGCAAGAGCTGATCGACAGCCTCAGTAAGAAGCTCCAGGTGTTGCGAGAAGCTAAGGAGAGTCTTCTGGAGGACATCCTGGACAACAACGCTCTGGGCAGCGAGGTGGAGATCCAAGCCCAGCAGGTCTGCAAGCCGAACGAGCTGGAGAAGTTCCGCATGTTTGTCGGAGACCTGGACAAGGTGGTGAGCCTGCTGCTGTCGCTGTCGGGCCGTTTGGCCCGAGTGGAGAACGCCCTCAACAGTCTGGAGGAGGACGCCACTCCTGAGGAGAGAGTGAGTGCATCTGAAAGTATTAACCATTAGGGCTGGGTAAAAAAATTGATTTAATCGATCTTGGATTGGGCATGAGATCGATTCTTCCCCATGGCGTCTGAGGTGCGTTTCTATTTTGTCACTCCTGGCTTGCCGTATGTTTACATCCGGTTGACGTTCAGTGCCAACATTAGCTTTCGATAACAAGTTGTCTGGATCAAAACAAAAGAAACTAAGGAATCACTAACATTACCAGCTGACTCTGCAGAACTAAAAGACAACAGAGACCATGGGGACTTTTGTTTGCAAAGATTTGCGCTCCTACGTGGTAGAGAAAACAAAGCTGACTAAACTGTTTTCCACAGCATGTAAAAATGTGTGAAAGACGACATCCTAACAAAATCATTTAGTTTTGTTACCAACATTATTACTTTTAAACTTTAGGAAACGTCTTAATGAAATCCACAGTGATGAAATGTTGTAGTTGTGTTATTTGTTTTAATAAGGTATAAATAACAAGTTTTAATAAATTATATTGAACAGAACAGAAACATGACAAATATACAGTTTTCATACCCCCATGGAGTGGACAGAAGTATATTTATATTAGCCCACCTCTTCTCCTGCAACCTTATTCCATCACTTCTTATTCATCAAAATAATTATTAATTACTTTAAAAAATTTATTCCTCCAACAACGCTGTCACCTGCAATGCCTTTTTAATTTAAATAATTTGTGACCGTTTTCTTTCAAGATTAAACTGTTTAATTTAAAAGTTTGTCCTTTAAAACCTGTTGTTTTTGGTGAAGAGAAAAAAATAGTGGCATTGTATTTTGCAACAGAAAAAACATAAAGTCTAAATTTGGCGACACAATTATCACAATTTTTGACAATAAACATTTTCACTGAATGGAATCGTGATTAATCGATTCAGAACCTTATGAATCAAAATGGAATCGATCCAGGGAATTGGCCGTGATACCCAGCCCTATTAACCATCACTAAAACTGTTCTGTTCTGCATGTTTTGAAATCGTATTTCCACATCTCCTGCAGCGCACCTTGATCGAGAAGAGGAAGCTGCTGATTCAACAGCACGAAGACGCGAAGGAGCTGAAGGAGAACCTGGACCGTCGAGAGCAGGTGGTTTATGATATCCTGTCCAACTACCTGCCCGAGGACAGCCTGGCGGACTACGAACACTTTGTGAAGATGAAGTCTGCGCTCATCATCGAGCAACGCAAACTGGAGGACAAAATCAAACTGGGTGAGGAGCAGCTTAAATGTCTGACAGACAGCCTGCCCCTGGAGCAGAGGCTGGCTCTGTAGAGGGTTCTGCTCATGTGGCTCGCTTCAACACAACGACCAGCAGAGGGAGACAAATATCAGAGCTTAGAGAAAATACCCTGTTGGGAACAAGAACTGGTGTTTTTGTTTTTTGTTTTTTTTTACCTGTGCTTCCTGTTTTCTGTACCAAACTGTGATGGAGGAGGACATCACCATCAGGACTCACACAGTTGTTCAGCATCGGAAAGATTCATGTTTTTTTTTCTTGCATCATCCAACAACTACACCATCCTGAATGCCATTTTTACCATGTTCTGTTTTGTTCTAGTAATTTATTATAGACTTTTGAATCAGAAAAAGGAGGGATGATTCTGTCATCAGCAGATCTGAGCAGCCTCGCCACCTGATGTGTTATATGCTGGATAAGTATTTATCATGTTTTGTTTTATAACAAAATCCAAATATTTCATGAAAATCAGCTTCAGTTCTGCATCCACTCACGTTAACTTATGGTATCTTTAGGTTTTTGTGGCTGTTCTGGCAGTTGGTTGTAGAGGAGTGTGCAGCTGAATGAATGTCCGGATTATTTTCTCCTGCAGATGTTTCTGTGTCGTTACATGGATTCATCACAACTTCATCACATGACATCATTATGTTTTGTTTTACACCAGGAAAATATAGACCATTTCATAGTTAAAAATTTGTTACAAATGCACGATGCAAGCTGAGCTCATACGTTAGTCAGGAAAACGCAGAGGTTGCTCTGGAAATGCCGTTGAAATTGCACAAATTCAACCAGTAAATTTACAGTTTTACAGACCCARTGTGTTTGTTCTGGTGATTCATGTTAAACTTTCCCTTATGAGATTTTTCATAAACATCTGTGCTATAAATCTAATTGGTAAAATGATAAATCGACTGTACTTTTATAACGCTTTTCTATCCATCCAGGACACTCAAAGTGCTTCCTAACGTGTAATCTAATGGTGTTTCCATAGAAACCTCAGTGTTTTACCAGTTGACCTGAGACCCAGAAGAGCTAGACTCCACCTTGTACTCATGACTACGAAATCCTCCACTGAATGCAGTTAACCACTGTTGTTATTCTTGATTTGAAYATTAAATTTGGTTGATCTTCTTGCAACAAAAAAATGCAACAAAATCATTTCAAACCAATTTGAGTAAATATTTATTAAAGCGTTCTGGCCTTTATAAGATATTGTGTTGCACAGACTGCGGCCGATGTTTGCTGAAGTCAACATCAGCCGTAGGCCGCTCGTATCAGCTGCATAAATGGCTGTGAAATAAGACGTTCTAGTCTACAGGAGACCTACGTTTGCGTGACCACATTGCCCTTGTTACCAAATGATAAGTTTTATATCACATTGCTTCAGTTGTTTTATTTTTCAAGGTATAACTTCACAAATTTCAGTTTTAATAGAAAAAAACATTACAAGTAAATAAATAAAAAGCATTAATAATTTGGGTTTAGCTCCAGTTTCTCAATGCAACAAAAGTTTCTTCAGCTGAATTTTTTTCAGTTTTCAGTTTTTCAATTTTCTTTCAGTCCGTGATAAAATTCAAAACTCAGTCATTTAAAAAAAATACCTTCACCGTCTTTGTTTTTCTGTTTAATTTCCTGATGGCACGATGGATTCTGGGATACCGTCGGCCACATAGGATACTCAGATGCAGCCGACGTTTTCAGGGTTTTGTCGGCTGCATGTGTAGGCGCTGATGAATTTGGACAGCCTCCAGCAGTGGCATAAGCAGCCGACAAATGCGGCCGACRTCGGTTGCAACACGTGAATTGAGACACGGCCATCAAATCCAAATCAAAAATCCAAGATGGCTCCCATAGCTTAAAAATTAATATTGGCCATATTTCAGAGATTTTTAGACATAATAGGCTGAATTTTGGGCAATGCTACWCACAAGTTTAAGCTAACTGCTAATTTTAGACAATTCAGCTATTTTAAGACTYTCAGAGCTGARAACTGGTACAGTRGTGGCTGAGAACAAGTTTTGACAAACTCTGAATGCCAATTCAGCCAATTCAAGATGGCTACCAGAGCTAATTTGAAACTGAAATAACTGCCATTTTAAGACATATTAGACTGAAATCTGGTGTGGTGGTCGCTGAGAACAAACCTCATTCTGAAACTAAATCAAAAATCCAAGATGGCCRCCATAGCTAAAAGGAAGAACTGACCATAACATCGCCATTCTTTGACAAATTGATCTGAAATTTGGTATGATAGTAGCCAAGAGAAATCCACCAAGATTATGTTGAAAATAATCCCACACCAAGAGGCAAGCCTTTTATATTTACACCAGGAACTAGTCTAGTTTTATTAATGTGCAGCTGGAAGAACGCAGTCCTGGTAACATTTTTATTGTGGGGGTTAAAATGTCAGCTGGTCCACAATCACACCAAGACAGACAAAGTCTGCTGGAAGGAGAGAGGAGTTCAAATCACTTCTTGTCCAGAGTCAACCATTAACTTCACCACACCCTGTTCTCCACTGATAACTGCTGAAAATAAAGACTTTGGCTTTCAGATTAGTTCCAGTGAATCTCTTCTCACAGATCCAGCATTAGTGGAAGGACTCTGTGGATACAGAAACAACTTTGATGGTAAGAAAACTGACTTACTTATATTTTACTTTCAAATCTTAAAAGATGTTAAAGAACGATTAACTCCATGTTACCTGGACACATTGTACCCACAGCTGCAGGAAGACCAAGACATTTTAATCATAGGTTCTAGACAAGCTACTTTTTTTGACACATTCAAAACATTCAGGTTATAAAACTTCTGGACATCATCTTGGTATTTTTGGTAATACTTTGCGGTGGGGSGGAAATAAATCTTAAAAAAATAAGTGAAATCAGTTTTTAGTTTTGTTGGTATTCATAATTTGCTCATTTATAAATGCACAGTTAAATACAATTAAAATACATTATGTTGATTCTAAATAGCTGCTAACATGATAAAACCCTGTTAATGAATAGTTTTACTCTGCGTGTGTTATGTAGGAAAATATCATTTATCTGTAGTAGTTTCCATAACGTTTCATGTCGTCATATATGAGGTTAATTTTTGACTTAGACACATTTTCTCCATATGTTTCACTTCACATGTATCAGTGCCTGTCACTGAAGCCCACAGGGCTTCATAAAAAACACAAAACCTTTACAAATACACTCATGAACAAAAAAGTGGTAAGGAAGCTGCTCGTGTGGAATCTCGTGACTTCACTGCACTGTGGATATCGAGTCGGCACTTCAGACACGCTGCTTGTCCCGTGTCTGTGGGCCAAGGTGATTGGACTGTCGGACGCTCCAGCAACTGCCTGATAACACTTTTCGCTCCACTCTTGGTTCCGCAGCACGTACCGTCTGGCGTTCAGCTGAATGAAATCATTAAGTGGATCCCGTAGAGTTCTATAAGACAACTAAAGTGTGAGCTACCATTGTTTACATGTGACACGATGGAGGAGCTAAGATGGCGTCTAAAAAGGTCACAGCTGTCAAAACTACTGTTTAACAACAAGCCCAACAGGATCTGTRTCACAACTTATTTTTAATCTCTTTACACTAGCTTCATATAATTCATAATTTAACTATCATGTAAAACAGCTGTATGAAGAAAATATACCAGTTATAACTAACAATGATCTAAACTTAACCATCAATTACTAATTATTAATTAATGATTCAAGTGATTTATTTTTTGTTGTTTTATTTTAAAACCTATTTCACTCAAAAAATATTCATAAAATATGTTATTACTAAAGTTTTTTTTTTGCTCAGACATCTTAAGATGTGCAAAAGCTCAGTCATCTCAAAGTATTGATTGGTAGGAAAATGTGTTCAATATATCTGAAGTCAGAATAAGTTCATAGAAAACCAGCTGATCTCTTCTAAAAAAAAACTTTATTGAAAAATCTGACTCCATTAAAGGCCAACAGGCAGCCAGCAGCAGGCCTGAAGGAGGCCTTGGTTCTGATCAGGACAAAACAATAACAACCCTCACAAGGAGCCGGCATCTGTTCCTGGATGATCTTAGAGAGAAGACTGCCTAAATGTCAATCACCTTAAAACAACATCTGACTTCCTGGTCTCAACCCTGGAGGTGGTATCTTTTACCTCAGACTTTACAACATAACCAACTTTGTTTGTTACAGAGAGGCCTCATGTTGATAAGACACACTGACTCTTCCTCTGTTTAAACTGTATGGCTGCAATGATCACAAAGTGTAAAATACAAAACTGGATCTCAAATTCAGTTAATCGGTCACATTTTCTTCAGATTCAAAATATTTTTTAGTTTATTTCCATTTCGTAATGATTTATCCAAGATATTTATCCAGACAGGAAATAATCCTATATATAAATATAATCTTATAAGAAGCTACGGTTTCATTTTCTGCACAGTGACACTTTTTGATGTTGCTTTGTTTGAAAGTGTTTAGTTTATTTGTCGAAGAACTGGAGGGTCAGTGTTGTTCTGTTAGCTGGAGAACTACAACAGTATTTAGCAAAGAAAAGCCTCAAAAGATTGACTTAACCCTAACCCCAATAAAAACAAAAGTACCAAGTGTAGACAATTAAAATACAATTAAAATACATTATGTTGGTTGCACKTTTGGAAAGATAACATGGATAAGGTATTGCAAAAGCWATTTCACACCACTGAGATGAATCACCAAGTGTAGATTTAAAAAATATCTTTTCAACCCCTAAATTGTATTGTTAATCTAATCTTCTCCTTTTCAACAATATCTTATATTCTCTTTATGAAACAAAAGGTCTTACAGGTCTTATGGTCACTGCAGACTAATAAAAACACATTTAGGATGTTTGTTTGCTGTCAGTTAGGCAGAATTTAGAAATATAGCAACTTATCWGGAGAGCAGCTGAGATGGGACAAATGAACTGAGCCAGTAAAACAGTTTTAAAAACTTGTCTTTTCAGCAGAAACGATGGTGGCCTGTAGCCCTCTGACCCTCTGAGCACCAGCCACACAGGGCAGGGATGATGCACTTGGCCCACACGGCCCACTGGCAGTTCCTGGGATTAATATCCGGGTTCCTGGCCTGGATCATCATCATGGCTACAGCTGGACTCAACGAGTGGCGGGTTTGGCACGTGGCCGACGTKTCCATCATCACCTCAGGGGAGGCATGGGTGGGCATCTGGAGGGCGTGCTTCTTCAGCCACGTCCTTCCCAGAGCCGAGAACTGTCGGAGCCTGGGGATCTCGGACCCCTTTGTTCCAGTGGAGATCCCGGTGGCTCAGGTTCTAATGATAGTGGCGGTGATCTCCGGCCTTGTGGGGAACATCTGCGCCGCGGTGGCCATGAGAATGGCCTACTTCTCCGTGGAAGATCGTCACAACTTCAGGATGGTTTTTGTGATGGCGGGTGTTTTTTACCTGCTGACTGCGACTTTCATGTTGGTTCCTCTGGTGTGGAACATGACCTCTGTCCTGAACAACAGCACCATAGACTTCCCACAAGAGTTCCACTTCCCCGCCGCGCCCATCAGACAGAGGGTTGGCTCGGCCATCGGTACGGGCCTCTTCGCCTCCACCCTGATGCTCATTAGTGCAGTTCTCTTCCTAAGCTACCGGTTTGTTTGGGAGGCCCCGGAGAAAACCAGGGACCCGCTCAGTGGCCCCTGGCCGGTAACAACACTGACAAAGACATCAGACATGTCCAAAGAAGATGGCCAGGGGATGAATAATCCTGCTTTCAACACTGAAGAAACCTCATGAAGGTTTAGTTTTTTCCAGTGTTCCTTACACTGTAAGACTTGTTCGAACAAAAACATGCTTTAAGTAAATTTCTTATCAAAGCTGTTCATTAAAGTGCCCGTGACATCAATTTGTTTTGTTATAAATGTGATTGCACTTTTGGAACGATAACATGGATAACGTATTGCAAAAGCAATTTCACACCACTGAGATGAACAGTTGTTGAGATATTCGCATGTGAAGTAACAGAAAGTGATGACAAAGGGGAATGTCTGAATGTAAACAGAGCGTTGCTACAACACAGACCACAAGGAATTTTCTGATGTTTCTTTAGAAAATTTTAGTCCTTATAAGAGAGAGATGAAGAAGAGTCAGAGTTCAAATAATACCGTTTTAATAAACAGGTTTTTTACTTCAAGAGTTCCCCTTTGATGTCACTTCCTGTTTCACTTTAGCTGAGCCAAATTCAAAGGAAAATATGCCAGTTATGTGACAAAATGGGTTAAATCATGTGTTTTATGCCAATTTTCCTAAATGTGAAGATATTTTCTTTGACCTTTTTGCATTTGAAGAATAGGCAAGTCACAGGCACTTTAAATGTTTATGATTTGTGACAAGAACATCACTGCCACTGAATAATCAGATTTTTTTAAATTAAACAGTTTGTTTACGTATTAATGGTTCAGTAAAAGCATGGATAAAGACAGCTCAACATATCAACACTATCTGAACAGAGACAATAAATCTAAATGTTTTGTTGACATGAAATAAATCTGTCTTTGCCCACATTGGGCCTGCAACYATAACTACAGTATTGTCAACACAGTTATATTTTCTTTTTTACTCTTAATTAAAAATGCATACTGTATATAAAATGGCAAGTGTAAAATAAAATGTTTAAAAAATATCAGTAACACAGTGTCATTATTTAATTAAGTAAAGCTGGAAACATACTCCCTCCGAACTGCCGACATCGGCACGGGTTGTCGCAGTTTCATGATGAAAATTACGTCACCAGGCTTCGCAGCGTCGGCTCGGCAGCCCTTTTTGGCACAACTGACCAGCAGAACTTTTTACCCCCCTCCCGCGACGACGGTAATGTGTGATTGGTCTGAAGTTCATGGGCATGTTTGTTTGTGCTGAAACTGAAAGCGCTCGGACAAAAGAAAAAAAATCGCTTCTATGTTTAAATTTAACATTTAAACATAACAATTAGCATTTAAATTTAAAATAAGCACGTAAGTTATCTCATAATTATGCGATAGTTAAGTCATAATTATAAGATAGACTTATTTTTGAACTGAACCATATTTTTTTGTTTTTTCTTCAGAGTGGCGGATATGAGCTTCCATACCATTCCACCCTAGGTAGTCACTATCTTTTGATAAAGACCCTAATGACCACTTAGAAGGGAGGGGAGAATAAGTG